CCACTTTTAAATTGCCCCAAATGACAAAAAAAAAGTGGGGGGGGGGGGGACTACAAACAGATTACCCCGATCTGGCATGATCCGGTCCAACCAAACGGATCTCTAATCTGTTTGTTTTTCTGGACCTGCCCGGAGTTGGGGACATCCGTTCGTTTACACATGGCTGCCCATAGACTTACATTGTGTTTTATGGGGATCCCGATCGTTCCCGCACATGTGAAAGGAGCCTTAAAGGTGAGAGCACTTGCCAAGTCACCGATCTAACTAACCAACACACAACCCCTCTTCCCATTCTGTTTAATTACTGGAGTATTGTACCCCTTGAGGTTTACAGTCAAATAGAGTGTGTCTGTGGTTGTCTGTGTTTTTGAGGGACCGTTCACACTAGTACAGTGCAATAATCAAACAGTCCTGTGCCATTAACGCACTGTACCACGCAATCGCACCTACTATTACGTTCTTTTGTGGGAGGTGCTTTGCCATTTATTCCACTCACCGTAACGCGCGGTACTGCAATGCTGTGCGTTCCTTTGCAGTGCGACTTGGGTCACGACTTAATGACTAAGGACAAGTGTGGGTCTTGTTACACAGGTTGAGAACCACTGATCTACACTGTCTGATCGGTCACCTGAAGCCTCTTCTCTTCAGAGCTTCGGCCAGCAGTCACACTTTAACATCCTCGTGTACAATGCAGGACCAGCATCCCTGCATTGTATGCGAGGGTGGCGGCACCCCATTCCCGCACAACCAGGAGGGAAGAGGAGGGTGTCAGAAGAGGTCCGAGTCAAGGATGACACCTAGCATAAATTGAGGCAGCATTGTGAGAATCTTCACTCAAGTTGTGTGAATAGTAATTTCAATTTATATACCCAATCGTGTGCCGATGCTTTTCTCATGATGGAATAATAGAACCGGAATTTTGTTGCATTAAAGTGAATATTGAGTTGTGTGTTTTTTCTCCTTTCAGTAAATTTAGCTTCATGACTTCAGACCATGCTGATACGATCAATGTTAACACACTTGCTCTCTTGCAGATGCCGGTCACAGTAGGTGGATCTTATGGGTCACAGCCCAAATGTTTTGACAAAATAAAGATGGGCTTCATGATGGGCTGCACAGTGGGCATGGCGGCTGGAGCGCTCTTTGGCACTTTCTCCTGTTTAAGGTGAGCAAACAAAACAAATGCAGAGGTTTCTTTCTGAGGTGAAAGTCCACAAAAGGCAAATATTACCTTTCTTGACTCTGGATTGCACAGCAGCTTTATTTAGAATACGGTGTCCAGTCCTGCAGACGTCTCGTACATAATAGGTATTGATAGGTAGAGGTTGGCAACCTCGGCACTCCAGATGTTTTGGAACTACAAGTCCCATGAGGCATCCTGCAGCCATAGGCATGACTTCCAGAGGCAAAGGCATTATGGGATTTGTAGGAGTGCCGGGGTTACCTACCCCTGGGTTAGAGGGAATCCAGAGATGGGCAACAATAATAGTGCAAGACCTAAAAGGGGGAAATCAGGGAACATGAGTGAAACATTTGAATACATGAAGCCCCTATTCACATGTGAGCCTTTCCAGGTGATTTTTGAAGCCTTTTATTTTGGTGTTTTTCAGGCGCTCTTATTCAAGTCTGTAGGGCCACAAATGTGTGATACTGCCCCCCCCAAAAAAAAAAAAAACTTGTGTGCTTTTTCAACATCGTGTATTCAATTCTCAAAATTCAAGGCTTTGTCTGAATAGACGAGAGGAGGGGTGGGGCAGATGAAAGTTCAGCTTTCACCATGTCCATTCAGAGAAATTCTTGATACCTGTGAATAGAATACAAGGAGGGGAATTTATCAAAACTGGAGCAGCTGTGCATGACAACCAATCGGCTTCTCTCTTCAGTTTGTTCAGTGAATATTTGAAGATAAAAAAAGAGAGGCTGATTGGTTGTCATGTACAGCTGCTCCAGTTTTGTTAAAATGGACAAGGGAGAGGAATGAAAGCAATGCTATCCTTTAGGGTTCCTGCCCGATTCTGGCCAGAACGCACTGCATCGCATTGCGGCCGGCTCACTTTTTTTGTGGGGCAGGAGGGGGTGTGGCGGCCATTGAAGTGATTGGCACCACAGCCACGCCCTCCGGCTGCACGGGATCGCAAGGCACATTATGCCTGCGGTCTGGGCCGGTGCAATCAAAATAGTGCTTGCAGCATTTTGATCGCACTGGACCGCAGCCATATTGTGCCTTGCCATCCCGTGCGGCCGGAGGGCGTGACTACGGTGCCAATCACTTCAATGGCCCGCCACACCCCCTCCTGCCCCACAAAAAAGTGAGCTGGGTGCGAAGTGATGCAGTGCGTTCTGGCCGGAATGCACTGCATCTTGTGTGAACGAACCATTACTGTTTGAAAGGAGATACTCAAAGCAGCTGAGCCACAAGTTAGAAGCAGACAGTAAATGCAATGACTTTAGCATCCCCGGCAGCCCTATAGAGGTAGCATATAAAGCTCAAACCTGCAAACAATTTTTCGAGTTCCACTTTAATAGAACATGGAGGGCTATTGGTAAGAGCAGCAGAGTTGTGTATAGCAGCATTTAATTAATGTCTCTTTTTTTTTTCTTTTTCTTTTAGAGTTGGAATGAGAGGGCGAGAACTTTTTAGCGGCATTGGCAAGACCATGATGCAAAGCGGTGGCACCTTTGGGACATTTATGGCCATTGGAATGGGGATTCGGTGTTGATCTGTGTGAACTGATGTCTGCTCTATTGTCCTATAAAAGATTTAACAGAGATCATGTACAGTGTCCTCTTTGATGTTTTAGGTAGCTGTCATTCTGTGGCGCAGTCCCTGGAAATGGCTGGCTTGTTCAAGAAGAACTCCAGGAATTAACCAAGTTCACTCCTGCACTGCAAGGGTTAACTCTAGGTTTTTCTCTAGGGGCTGGAAAACGGAAGATAAGCTCCCCTGATTCTTGGTCTTGCGGCAAACAGCACTTATCACATTCAAAGCTGGGGAAGAGGTATGTCCCTTGATGTCCTCGCGTCTAATGCAGGTAAATAGACCTGCATTAGACATGACATCAAAGGACCTTAGGCCGCCAGAGGTAAAACAGGCTGTGGGGACCAGTCGATCGGCCAGGATGTTTATCTTTTTATCCGGTCCCTAGAACAATATGGGCAGATGACCCTTGCAGTATGGGGGTTTTCTCTTGTACATTCCTAGAGTTCTTCTTTTAGCAAGAACAGGGGCAGCCACATGACTACCTTATTCTAGCCCTGTTATGGCGATGAGTAACCAATCTCGATTTACATCTTCATGCATACTTTAAATCATGTACGTGTCCTGTTGGTGAAAACACGGATTTGAGTTTTTCCCTTTCAATGTTCACTACTATAATTTGTTATACATTTGCCTTCTCTACATTTAAAAGACCAATAAAAGCTTTTTCTTAGATACTTTGCGAGCAAAATTTGTGAAATTCTTGGCTCATTTTGTCAGGTCTCTGAATTGACCAATACTAGTTTCCCTTTGTGGAGCAGTGTTGACCCTATACTGTGGTTTGTCTGCAGTCTAAGGTGGGCTGGGTATGAAAGGAGGGACATAATTGACACCTGTAAAGCAGAACTCCAGCCACAAAATAAAAAATGTAGCTTATTAAAAGCCAACAACCAGTTTTTGCTACAATATTCAAGCCAGAGATTTTTCCCTGCATTGTTTTTTATTCTGCCTTCTAGATGTACTCCCTTTGATGGCCAGCATCATTCAACACACTTCCCGAGTCCAGGTCGTTCTGGACCTGCAGCACAATGATGAGCCCATTTTACTTCTATCAGCATGCTTTTGTTTTTAGCACATGAACTGGTTGGCTCCTTGTAGGGCTGCAACAACTAAGTCGATTAACCGATGATGGAAAACGGTTTCAATCGACTTTCGATTAGTAGCTCATGTTGGACGGCTCCACTCATGTCACGCCGCTGCCTTGTATACCTCTATGGCTGGTGGTATTCTGCATTGCCCTGTATGTATTGCTGAGATTTGTAATCCTCTACAGCTGGTGCCATTCTGCATTGATTGCTGTATAATTTTACTTTCCATTTCACTATATTGTACACTTTTTTTTTTTCTTCCACTGCTCCAAGCTTGCTCCTGTGATGGACTATTTCAATACAGCAGAGTACATTTGTGAAGCACACAGCTGGCCTTTGTAGAAGTGACTTTCTTTTTTACGGCAGCAATACACTGATCAGCCGCTAATATTGAGTAGGTTCCACCTTATGCCTGTCCAGGTATGGACTCCTGTCATGGCACCAAGACGGTAGTAGCAGATTCTTTAAGTCCGATAAGTTGTGTGATGAGGCCTCCATGGACTGTATTCTTCCAGCACATCCCACAGATGCTCAATTGGATTGAAATCTGGAGAATTTGGATGCCATGTTAATACCTAGAATTCAGTGTTCCTCAAGCCATGCTTGCAATGTGGCAGGGTGCATTATCCTGCTGACAGAGGCCAGTGCCATCAGGGAATACTATTTCCATGAAGGGGTGTACTTGGTCAGCAACAATGTTTAGGTAGGTTGGACATGTCAAAGTAACATCCACAGGAATGGCAGGACCCAAGGTTTCCCAGCGGAACATTGCACAAAGCATCACATTGCCTCTGCCGACTTGTCTTCTTCCCAAAGTGCATGCGAATGCCATCTCTTCCCCAGGATTATAACCTACACACAACCCGGCCATACACATGATTTAAAAGAAAATGTGATTCATCAGACCAGGCCACCTTCCATTGCTTTGTGGTCCAGTTTTGAAGCTCACATGCCCATTGTAGGTGCTTTTGGTGGTACATGGGGTCAGCATGGACACCCTGACCAGTCTGCAGCTCCATGCAAATAGGTTGAGACACCTATCGGAACCAGCATTAGCTTTTTCAGCAATTTGAGGTAGCGTAGCTCTATTGGGTCAGGCTCGACAGGCCAGCCTTCGCTTCCTACGTGCATCAATGAGCCTTGGCTGCCCATTACTGCTGCCAGTTCTTTGATTTTCCTACCTTGGACCACTTTTGAAAGCTGCTCTGACCCAGTTGTCCAGCCATCACAATTTGGCCTTGTCAAAAGTCACTCAGCCTTACACTTGCCCATTTTTTTTTTCTGCTTCCAACACATCAACCTTAGGGATAAAATGTTCACTTTAACGCTAAATCTCAGCATGTCCATCAGTCAGCTAACTGGTGGCCAGGACAAACCGGTCAATGAGACCATGGTAAAATCTTAGTTTGTGAGAAGAAAAAAAAAAGTAGCATTTACATGACTGATAAGTGTGCCATTACAATACGGATTTTAAGGGCCTGTTCACACGACGTTCGTTTTGTGTGCTGACCGGCTCCGTACGCTGCTGCACTAAAAATGCATCCCAATGTGTTTTATGGGCTCCAGTTCTCACATGCGCAGTCCGTTCAGCTTACGACAGAAAAAATACTGCATGTCACATTTTGTCAGGTCTGGAAATGCAAACGCATCAAAAATGCACTGCAGCTAACATACTGACAGCCCCACTCCAGCAAAAGTGGAACGCGGCAAAAAAGCAATACATCAGTCTGCAGATCCGCACCTGATATCATGTGAACAGGCCCTAAAACAAAAAGGTGCAGTTATGCTTTAGTGAGGATGTTTGCTTTAAAAGTTTAAAATGGAATACGGTTCATGGTCAAGGAATTTTCAATTATCCTTCTCCATATTTTTTTTTGTCATTGTATTAAAAGGAGAACTATGCGGTCAGCGTTTTTCCCCATAGTTCTCCTTAAGGTAACGGGAGGACACAAACTAGCGTCCTCCAGTTACCCTAAGCTCAGTATACCGCGAGCTACAGCTCACGGTATACTGAGACACTGCAGCCGGAGCGGATCCCGACTTAGACGGGATCCGCCTAGCTGCGTGAGTGACAGCTGGCTCTGCCTATCTAGAGTCAGAGCCAGCTGTACCCGCCCACTCCCCAGTCCATTCCGCCAGTCAGCGCGGGGAGAGGGGAATCCAGCCACTCCCCGTCACAGCAGAGAGCCGTGACAGGATCGAGAGGTGAGCGAACGCCGGTATGTGTTCGCTCACCTCCCGATCTACTGAGCCGACCTGCGACAGTCTCATTGTCACAGGACGGCTAGAACTATGAGGTGAGTGAAAGGCACTCACCTCATAGTTCTCCTTTAAATACAGAGACTTGTAGCTTAACCACCACTGTAACCGATTCACAACTGGCAAGGGCCAGTTCACACCAATTGCGGTGCATTTGTGAGTGGTAGCGACTGGAACGCACAGTAATCACACACTAAACTTGCCCTTCGTTCTGCAGTGGGATGGGGCGTGGCAGTGCATTGCAGTCAGGTGCACCACAACCATGCCCCTGCCCACAATGCTATCGGACACATGGCAAAACATGGCCTGTGTTCCAGTCGGAAAAAAAAAAGCTTTTTGCATCCGCACTGGACTAGAAAGTAGGCGGCAATGTTTTGCCACACGTCCAATCGCACTGCAGGCAAGGGCGTGGCTGTAGTGCCATTTACTTCAATGCACTGCCAAGGCCCCTCCCACCCCAGAACAAAGGGGGAGTATAGCGTGCAATTACTGCTATACCAGCTATCACTCTGGAACGCACCACAATTGGTGTGAACTGGTCCTAAGATGTCAGCCACACAGGGATTGTGTTTTCAAAAGGTCAGCTGACCCATAGGCAGGCAGGTGTCCAAGCTATATTGCTGACCTAATGGCAAAAACAAAAGGCTACCTACATGACTTGTGTATAGGACTGAAGAAAAATTGAGGCACAAACCAGAGACTATCATGTGCTGCAAGGTATAGGCTACTCACAAGTCATGGCCCATAGAGGTACACTATGTACAGCAGGAAGCAAAATATGGTATAGAAAATGCAGAGAGCTCTACTTCAATCTAGGAGGAATCGTTCCTATTGAATGCTGCAAGCTTTATGTTGTCCGTTGTACCATTAATAGCTTTAAACCAAGGGTCAGCAACCTATCAATCCCAGTCAAGCTGGCCATACACCTTACAATTATCTGCAGATTATCTATGGTCAGATGGAAAACGTGCAACAGATTCCTCCATCTAGGCTACACTGTGTGGATGGAGGAATCTCCCGCTGGGCCAAGCTTCAGTATCTTGCTAGTCAGCCCTGCTGGCTTGCAAAACACCTGAACAATGCCTGCATCCAATCAGATTGTTGAGGTACTTTGAGAGCCAGCAGGGCTGACTAGCAAGATACTGAAGCTTGGCCCAGTGGGAGATTCCTCCATCCACACAGTTTAGCGTAGATGGAGGAACATGTTGTACTTTTTCTATCTGACCATAGAAAATCTGCAGATAATTGGAAGGTGTATGGCCGGCTTTAGGTTGCTAATGGACTGCAACCAACCCCATCACACCACCTCTTAGACCAGTTTGGTGTGGGAGAGAGATGTGTTATATACCCTTGGCACTCTGTGGTACTTGCTTCTGAGACCCATGAACACTTCAAACCATTTTTAATGGGGTCTTGCTAGTTTATCTCCTCCCCACCCCCCAAAAAAAAAAACCACACACTCGAAGGCTACACTCTGGTGATACTTGATTTCTTCCATTTTGTTCAGGCAGCATATGAATCACCTGAGCAGAAATTCAGAAAAAAGCGGGCAGCTTACACAGTTTTGCTTTAAAGGAAGATTAACCCTTTGACATCTGACCAAGGAAATAAATCCCAATCTTGAGCAACACTTTTTTTTCAAATAATTTTATTTTGAGCGCTTCTTTACAAAGATAGTTGAAATATGAAAGTTGAATAGAAATATCAAGCAGTCTCTTCAAACACAGAAAAATTAACAAAAAAAAAAAAATATATAATTTTAGAGCTCACAGAGCTTAAAGAGCAAAAGATTAAATGCAACCAGACAAAATGTCAGGCATTTCCTGGCAGCTATCTGGCTTTTAAGCAACTAGTCTTTTAAAGATAAAAAAAAAAAGCCTGGAAACAGCTGAGATTTTGTCTGGTATGTAAGAAACACCATGACACTATGTACAAAATAAATTCACAGATACATAAATGTAATATCCGAGACTTAAAACTCGCAGTTATGAATTCCCAGATTTTTCTCAAACTTCTAGGTTTTGGTGAAAACAAATATCTGCTAAACATCTGTAACAGGTCCTCTTGATGTGAAATCTTAACATATCAGGCATTTCACTTCCCCAGTGCCCTTTTTCCCTTCTACTGTCTGAGCTAGATCTTTCAGGATGTAAGGCAGCACAGCAAATGGATGGGGCAGAATGCTGGTTAGCCAATACACCGCATTCATCCTTTAAATTTGAAGGTATTAGAATTTACACAAAGTTACACCCATTCCTCTTCATTTGGAGCTAAATAAAATGACAAATTTTGACAACACTCTCTCCTCTCTCAACACCAGGAAAAAAAAAAACAAAAAAAAAACAGCTATGTACAAAACTGTTGCAGTCTGTTTCATCGACGAACGGGAAACAAAAGCTGAGTTGAGGTCATGGAGTCTGGGAAGAGGCTGTGGTAAGTAGGAAGTGGGACGTACGCGGCTGTGATCATCTTACCTGTGGATAAATAAGAAAAAAGTTAGCACTGCAATAAAGAATTACACTAATAGAGTTAAAATTAAAGTAGCTTAAGGAAACGTCAATGATAAATTGATATTTACCTGCAAACCACCTCCCGTGTAGTGCATTAACTGCAGCTATTGCAGCTGCTATGGTTGGACATTTCACATAAACATTTCCCTGTGGAGAAAAAAAACACTATGTAAACAAAGAAAAATAAGTTTTGATTGTATGTCTATGACATTGCAAGCCTCAATAAAAAGCATCTAAAAAAAAAAAAAAAAAAAAAAGGAAAGTTTTCACCAACAC